AGCTGGGTAAGCTGATACATAAATGATAATTTCAAGCATCCAAAATTTGAAAACAAAAATTTCCTTTTCATTGGTAAAAGCAGAACAAATTTGGCAAATAAAATAATTCAAGAAAATGAGTTAATGTTTCAAACTTGTAGAAAGTAAATTACGTTGAGCCTAAAGTATCAATCATTGCTTCAATTGAAGTGCCTTCAGCTGTCGTCCCTGTGTGTGCATTTGTATGTGCAGCACGCAAAATATGTACAGGACAATGAAATTAATCCCTCATTAATAAAAAACCATTAAAAATACAAGGAATGATGACAAATACTCCTTTAAACGAATTTACCCCATTGAAAGATGCTCGATTACCCTTTCCCCCGATGCACTTGTAAATGAATAAAGGATAACCTCGTGAAGACAGGCGCAAGAAAGACATATTCAGTGTATGCCATGCTGGGCTGATTCTTAACCATCTCTGAAGGCATCTTATCCACAGGGAGGATTTCATGTGAAAATGTCACACCACAGCTGGATATTACCATTTATGTAGGTGATAGTTATCACTGCGTTAGGGCTATCTTAAGATGCCCTCATTATTTGGGGCTGAAGTCAGGGAAAAAAGGTCAAAATTTGAAACTAAAACAAGAAAAAAAGAGAAACTAAAACTAAGGAAAATAATGACTAATCCATTCAAGGATGGAGTTTATAATTATGTTACTGCTAAGATTAGGGTTTCTTTCAATCAAATTTTAAAAAGTCAAATAATTTTTTCTATCTTTTCTCCCCCTCAAAACCAATAATCCACTCAACTGTAAGGTAATAGATGAATTAACTGCTGTTTGATATAACAAAATTTTTCTGCATGAATTCTAGAAAAAAAGTTAGATGGCAGCAACTTAGCATTAAATATCTACTGTCCAAAGAAAGGTGGAGAGGTCTTCAGAATCAATGATTTAGACAGACTGCCTATATGGTAGATAGCTTCATCAGCTATGCTAGTTTCATAAAAATATCCCTTATGAATACCAGATAAGACTTCCTTTGATACCGTTCTCACAACAAAATCATCCGATCTATAATTCAATCTTTAATGGACCAATACTTCCCTCATAACTGAAATTAAGGTTCATAAATTATCTTATGTGTTTGTTTTGTTTCATATGTTTGAGTTCCCCCCACTCCAGGATTCTAACCACCTACAAGTGAATTAGAAAAATACAATTTCTAAAACAGCAAAGTTGAGAATAAGACCTGGAATGAAGACCTCATCTCTTCTCTTGATAGAACTTTTAAACTGTGGCAGGTAGAAGCTATCTTTCCATAGGCCTAATAATTTATTTTATTTAACAAAGAGGCCTCCCTCTAAAACAGTAGCTTTCATACTTTTTGGAAGTTAACCACAGTAAAATGTGCAGTTTACTTCATGACATATACATGTGCATGACTGAAAAAGAAGTTTAACTAAGCCATGCGTATCCCATCTATGTGTAAAGCATTCTGACAGTTCTTCTTCTATTTCATTTTTTAAAATGTTGATTACAGCTCATTAAACTAGATTTCATAGTACACTCATGAGCTGGGAACCAATGTTTGAAAAGCATTGCTCTAGAATTCAGACTAATTATATCTGAAATAATTCAACTGACACTCCTTAGCTGAGGTCTTATTTTTCTGATGCAAGTCACTGTCCCTTATTATCTAATGCACTTTATGAGAAGAACATTGCTGGAACGGGACCATTTTTCGATAGCAGGGGGACTACCCAGGGGCCTCACTATCTCCCCATTTAAACAAAACATAACCTTCATTTCAAACAGCAGACATCTTATTCTGAGAAATAAAATAATAAAGATTGAATAAACAGCTAGAGAATATATTGAAAGGGGAAAATATCCTTCCCTGCCAATGGAAAATGGGTGTTGATTTTCAGCTGGCTATCCAAGATTGAACTCTATTTAGTTTTCACTTAAAAAAAAATAAATCTGTGATTCATGCAGCTCTTCTGAAAGCAGACATTCTGGTGCTTTGAGAGAACACCTGAGACGATATTAGCACTTGTGCTGTGGTAATTTTTTAATCTTGTACAAATATCTAGCATATTTTGTGTAATGTTCAATATTGAAGCAACATTTGAAGTCCTGACAGCCATATTTGATAAAACTCTGCCCAAATTTGAAACCACTATTATTTAACACAATTTTCTAGGCTAGGTTTTGCTATCACTCATTCTGAAGGTATTTTGATACAGAACTTGCTTTTGTCCTAAAATATATTATCATTGCCTATTTAAACTGCTTTTTAGATTCTATTACCTTTAAACAAAAGCCCGCATTGCTTTAAAGGAGAAAAACCATATTAATTTTGTCAACACAGAGAAAGGCTATTTTCAAAACAGATTGTGTAATGTGCAGAAACTTAATACAGAACTTATCAGAAATGAGGTACAAGATCTTAAAAATATTAGACATTTTTTGTTGTTTAAACATGAAAGTTCCATTCTGGATTTGCTAAGCTTATAGGCCAAGCAAATATTTATATAAGAATTCATAAATCTTAGAAATAGAGTGTTAAGGAGATGCTAACAGGCCCTGAGGTATGGCTGAGGTTGTTTTTGGGTACTGCTATAATTTCAGTGCGTGTGCTTAAAGACTGCGACACAAAGGGCTTTCCCATGCTGCAATTTTGTAGTTTTATTAGACTGAGTTATAGCATTGCAGAATATTCAGAAATTGCAGCTTAAATGAGAAAACGTGAATGGTGTTACTTACATAAAATACTACTGCAATAGTCCTTTTATTAATTTTTAATGCTCAGCCCCCTCTGTGACCTGCTTTATTCTCTTGCTGTCAACATGGCAGACTGGGAAATTTGAAATGGGCTGACAGGAAACACTGTTCATGTGACAACCCAAGCCAGAGTCTCTTGGCTCTCATAGTGGCACACGCTAACACGGTATCTGCTGCTCTGAATGACAGTAATATTCGAGGTCCTGTCTGGTGGCTCCTGGTAAAGCAAGTTGTGTCTGGGGCCTGGTCAGGGACTTCCCCGTTGCTGTCCCCTCCTGACGCTGTGGAAACAGCAGCCAATTCAGAGCAGCCTATGACCTTCTGCTGCTGTAGTTGATCATCATGGATGCCCTTCACACTCTTAAATCAGAACCCTTCAGCACAGATGGAGTTCAGTTTGTGTCTGTCCAGTCTCATCCAAAGGCACATTTTGGTCTAAGCCAGCAAGGTTTTTCTTGAACGGCAGGGCAGTGCCATGCCATGTACATTGACCACTTTCTCTATCACCAAGGAGATTCATCCCTATACCAGTGCAGTCAAAAACCTCACAACACCGTCTTTGCAAGATTCATTTCACTGTGTCACAGCCACAGAGTGCACAGGGCAAAGACAGTGACTAGGACCTTGGGAGTAAAACGTCTCTTCTAAATACAAGGATTTGAAAACAAACAAGAGCATGGGAAGGTGTGGAATTCTGTGATTGTCTTGTTGTGAAGCTTAACTTAGCATTTGAACCGTGCACTGGGGACAGTTGTGCAAGCTGTTTTTGAAGAAAGTCTATTTTAAAATTCTAGGAAGATTGGAAGTTCATCCAGACTGTGAAGAAGATATTATGATCCGAGGACCTATATTTTTCTCTTGGAGAGCCCTGGTATTAGCCCTTACTAAAAAGTGGCAAAAAAAAAAAAAAAGAGAGCAAAGATAATTTGTACAAGACCCGACCTGGGTCTTGGGCTAACAGTCACTTGAGTCTTCACATTCAATGTGTTCTGTGTCATAACTATTAGGAATACTGGCCAGCAATGAGCTATAAGAATTTGGAATCACACAAGATGTGAAACTCTTGCTTGCAACACAACCTCTAATGTTTTAGCAACCTGCAAGGAAGCACACAGTGCAGGGAGTTGGCAATACCTACCAGACACGCCTCCATACGTGGTCCGCTTCGCCATACCCACGGCTGGCCAGGGAGTGCCATCTGATTTTAATCCCATCAGACCCGAGACAGTGTTAGTGGCTGTAACACCATCTGCACCACCTGCAAAAAACATCAACATCTCCCTAAGTTCTTTTTTTTTTTTTTGAGTTGGGGTCTCACTCTGTCACCCAGACTGGAGTGCAGTGGCTGCTCCCGGCCACTGCAGCCTCGACCTGCTGGGCTCCGGCGATTCTTCTGCCTCAGTCTTCCAAGTAGCCGGAATTAGAGGCATGCGCTACAATGCCTGGCTGATTTTTTGATTTATTATAGAGATGAGGTCTTGCTGCCCAGGCGGGTCGCGAAATCTCCCTAAGTTCTTAAAGTCACAGCGGTTCAAACCCATTCAAACCCCCCAAACCCAGGAAAATGCACACTCTGCCTTCTCTTGAGAACTTTTACTCTCTTCAAATATCTTCACTAGCTTAACTCCTACCATTGCGATTCAATTCTAGGCATTAAAATAAGGTTTTAATTACCACAACTTCATTTTCTCAGTTACTATATAAACTTTTTGGTGCCAAATGTTTTGTGTTCATTGTTATTTGTCCAGGTAATTTACAACATCTTTGCAAGTTAGGGCACAATTTCCCTGGGATGGAACACGAGCATACGTGATTTGTAAAGTCATGCATTAACTACATGATTATATATTCAACAGATATTTACTGAACATGTGTTCACGGCAGTGTGTTAGGCCCTATCAAATATCAAGGGAGCTCATAAGAAATTTCACACTGTGGAAGCTGGTATTTCTTCTTTCTTTTATATTTCATTAAAGATTTAAATGTTGAATTGCTACAAGATCATTTATTTTGAAGAGGTTCCCTGTGACTGTGAATTTGTCTCAAACTTCTTTGTGCATGAAGCAAGTGTTTATTAGGAAAAATTATAAATTATCTTGTGTTTCCAGATCAAAGTTTGTGGTACATTCACTAGCTTGAGTTCAGACATACTTCAGGATGGCTACATAATTCAAGCCAATATTTACAAAATGGATGACTGATGCAAGTCATTCTTACCTTCCTTTGCAGCTCTTGCAATGTTCACAATATCAGTGACATTCGGGGTCAACTTGGCAAAAAACGGAATCTGCACAGCCTGCCTCACCCAGCGACAGATGTTTCGTACCAGCTCTGGATCCTGTTCAAATAGGTCAGTTAAATATAGAACATAATTAAATAATTGTGATCAAAATGTGTACCAGAACAACAGCAAAGCTGGAGACGTGCCAGACAAATCCAACCTGACAATGAGCTACACGCTACATTTCTCAAATTTCTCCTCAGTATTACACCTAGACTCATTAGGGGACTGAGGTTAACACACTTCAAGAGAACTGCAAATTCATCACATAAAGGTTAAATTCCTCAAGGGAGCCTTTGGGAAATAAAATTACAAAGAAGCAAACGGATGAAAGTGTTTCTCATTTTCTGTTAAACAACATCTGGAATGAAACATCAACTTTTTTAAAAAAAAAGATGTAGGGTACAATTCAGAGTTAGGTACACAAATGGTCATTGTGCAGGTAAAGTTTGGGCCTCACATGTGAATTCGTTTCACTTTTGAGGAAAGTTTCAATCTATTATTTGAAATGATTTGGATAGAAGTCAGCATGGGAAAATATTTCTGATTAAAAAAAAAAATCCTTATCCTCAAGACTTAATGTCTGAGCCAAGCTCACTCAAACTTAGAACTATTTAAAATGGTAATTAAAATGTATTCACATCAGAAAAAAAAATCAACTTTTGGTGGCAAGTACAGGAAGCGTTATAGAATTTCTAGTAATCTAATTGGTTTAAGCAAAATTTTATATATACATATATGTATGTATTTATGTGTGTGTATATATATATATATGTATATACAAAATTTTACTTAAATAAATGATATAGAGATAGATTTAAACTACAAACTCCCAGGTGAATGATACTAAATTGAAAGTCCATTGTTTTCATATTAGAAGACTTCCTCTTATTGAAATGTATTCAGAAGAAACTCTATCATGACTTTATCATCAATCTAATGTGATCTCTACTCTGTGGTCCCTTGGTTACTGCTATTTACTTGAATATGGAATAATTCGGCCTTGGATTATACATGAGCTGATCAGTAACTTTCACTTACTTTCGCAAATGTTACCAAGTTCTATGTAGCATTTTTCCACACTACTTGAAAGAATTGATCAAAATGACAAAACTGAAATAAAATATCAAATGCTCATTTGCTAAAGGCAGGGAAGAGACGTTTTCCTGTGCCTGCTTCCTGTGATTTTTCAAGTTTTTCTTTTCTCATGGGGCAGGTATCATTTAGAGGGCAAATGATATCCTTCCCATTGAAATAACTTAGCTCTACTCATAGTAACAGTCTTTGATTTCAACACATACAATAGTGCTTTTTTTCATTACCTTTAGTGCAAAATTTATTCTGACAGGTACTGATAACGTGCTTTGATAAATCACCTTAAAATATGCAATAGCAACACATGATTGAACTTGGTAATATTATCTTAGCAAGTTAAAATGTTTTTTGAATAAAAGAAAACCCATAAAAATATAGGCATATATTTGAACATTGAAATAGTATGCGAGCATATCACTTGTAATTAAAATTTTTATATGTAAGGAAGTTGCTCTTTGCATTTTAACCTTTCCAAATCTTCAAGATGAGATTTCTAATGTTATAACCTTTAGAAGGAACCTTTTTACTTAGGTTTAATGTGTCTTGATCCATCATCCTGTTACACTCTAAAAGTTATATGTCTTTGTGCTAAGAGCTGCAATAAGGTAACTTTTGTTGATTGTTGTCATTTCTATTCAGCAAAACTTAATACTTTTAACAAGAAATCTTTGACTTGACTTAGACTCTATTCAGAACAGTAATTTCTTCATTAAACATAAATATTAAAAAAGTACCGTATGGAATGCTCTACGGGGCAAGCTGTGCATCATGAATAGTAAAATCTGGAGCCTTAGCTGAACAAATTCTAACTCATGAAAATGGAGATCTGCCCCTGACATGCGATGCTCATGAAATATTTATAGCCGCAGCCCTGGTATTATAAGGGCAGTTGCATCTCTGTGACTTTCATTTCTAAGTTATGAATTTCCATGGGACTTAGCCTAGAAATGATGATATGGACTGCATGTCCTTTGTGAGAGCTCTCCTCAAGGTAGGACTTGACAATCATTTAAAGACCACCCAAATTGCACAACACAAGGAAGGCAGCTGATGAGAATTACTGAAACAAATTTAAAACATTGTTTGGTTCCAATAGAGTAAACATGAATCATCTGATATGGGCTTCCAAGTGACTGTCAGTACTACTGACCCCTGTCATTACAATGTACTTTGAACATTTGTCAGACATTTTTTCTGGTTTCCACTAGTTGACTCAAATAAGGGCCTTTCTTGCCCATTGTTTAGCAACTTGGAATTTGTTCAAAATTTTTTCAGTTTTGTAAAAATATATGGTCCCTGGCTACTGCTATTTGCTTGAATCACCTGCCTCTATTCTGAGATTCCGTACTCTGACCTGCCTGTAGTTCCAAGAGTGAGGTTGATGGTGTAGAGATATGTTAATTCCATCTTCATGTTCAGCCAAGCCAGCTGCTGACTAAATCATCATAGCCAGTAGAAAATCAGTTTTATTACTTGAGAATCTTTAGAACGACTTCTGAAGATTATTGTGAAAATTAATGACTCTTCCATAAATTGCGAAGTATTGTTTGACAGGTATGAGAGGGAATATTCTAACACAATTAGAAATGAGGTCAGTTACATGATACAATGAATCTGTGTACTTTTGAAAATTAAACGATAGGCTGTAACTCTTCACTTCCCTGGTTTCTTCACACTTTTGATATGAACATTCAGAATCTAAAAGCAATAATAGTGTTTCTGCATCTCCACCTTCTCACTTTCTAGTAACAGAATCAGGAAGCTTTGTCTTTCATAACTAGCTAGTTTTGAGAAAATTATTGAAATGAATAAATTTTCGACAACTTCTAATTCTCCCCAAAATCTTCAAGATGAAAACAGATAAAAGTACTATTATTTATCAGATAAATTAAGGTTTTAATACTATCAACATCAAAAAATCCCCAATAAAACAGTTCTGAACAGTTCTATCTCTAGGCATTCAATAGTCATTGTGTCAATGAATGAAGAATGAATGAAAACAGCATATTTTCAAGTTATGCCTTTGCATATTCATCAAAATATAGATGACGTCTAGATTTAAGTAAAACCCAGATGCATCTTATAATAGATAATATCTAAAAGCATGAAATACAGAAAAACTATTTTACAAACTTTAGGTTTTTCTGTGAAAAAAGATAAACAATTATGCAAAATAGAATAGCTTAACCCTTTTTTTCCTGTACTTTAGTTTTTTTATTTAAAAATTTATCTAGAATGCTCTCCATGTCAGTGATCAGAGTCCTTTATCTTTTTTCTTAAATTGATATGTAATATTTGCACATATTTATCAGGTACATGCAAATGTTTGCTACATGCATAGAATGTGTAATGATCAAGTCAGAGTATTTGGAGTATTCGTCACCTTGAGTGTTTATTATTTCTCTGTGTTAGTATCAGTTAAAGTCATAGACTTTCTATGAAATATACAGTACACAGTTGCTAAGTAGAGTCACCCTACTCTGCTATCATACATTAGAACTGATTTCTTCTACCTAGCTGTATGTTTGTGTCATGGACCAGCCTTTCTTTATTCCTCCCCACCTCACACACACCCTTCCCAGCCTCTGGGATCCATCATCCACTTTCTATGCCCATGAAATCAGGGTTTTTTTTGCTCCCACTTATGAGTAAGATAATGTGGTATTTGTCTTTCCATGCCTGGCTCATTTTACTTGGCATAACTGACTTCCAGATCCATTCATGACTGCAAATGACAGGATTTCATTATTTGGGGGGGGGATTGTAGTCTCAATCTGTTGCCCAAGCTGGAGTGCAGCGGCACACTCACGGCCACCCCAGCGTCGACCTGCTGGGCTCAGGAGAACCTTTCACCGCAGCCTTCCAAGTAGTCAGAACTACAGGCAAACACTACCATGCCTGGCTAATTTTTTAATTTATTGTAGAGACGAGGTCTTGTCATGTTGCCCAGGCTGGTCTCGAACCCCTAAGCTGAGACAATCCTATCACCTTGGCCTCTCAAAGTGCTGGGATTACAGGCTTGAGCCACCGTACCTGGCCTTCATTCTTTTTTGATGGTTTAATAATATTCCCTTGTGCACATATACCACAAATCTTTATCAAGATTGATTCCATATCTTGGTATTGTGAATAGTGCTGCAATCAACACGAGGATACAAGTTCCCTCTTCATATGTTTACTTATTTTCCTTTAGATCAATACCCAGTAACGAGATTGCTGGAATGTTTGTTTTCTAGTTCCAGTTTTAGTATTTTGAGAAATCAATAAACTGTATTTCACGGTGGCTGTCCCAGTTTGCATTCCCACTGATGTGTGTAGGAGAATCCTTCTTTGCTTCTTTGCCAGCATCTGTTGTTTCCTGCCTTTTTAGTAATAGTCATTCCAACTGGGGTGAGGTGACATCTCCTTGTGATTTTGATTTGCATTTTCCTAATGAGCATTTTTTCATATACTTGTTGGTCATTTGTGTGTCTTCTTTGGAGAAATGTCTATTCAGGTCTTTGCCTACATTTTTTTTTATTTTTTGAGTTGGAGTCCCACTCTGTCACTCAGACTGGAGTGCAGTGGCTGCTCCCAGCCACCGCAGCCTCGACCTGCTGGGCTCTGGTGATCCTTTCACCTCAGCCTAAAAGTAGCCAGAATTACAGGCATGCACTACCATGCCCGGCTGATTTTTCTTTGATTTATTGTAGAAATGAGGTCTCGCTGCCCAGGCGGGTCTCGACCCCGCGGGCTCAGGCAATTCACTCACCTCAGCCTCCCAAAGGCGCGGGATTACAGGCTGAGCCACCGAGCCCGGCTTGCCTACTTTTTAATGGGATTATTTCTTTTTTTAGTATTGAGTTGAGTTCCTCTTAACAAGTCTTTTAGAGTGTTTCATCCACAAAAAGTCTGCCTAATCACCCAATTCTCACTGGTATTTTTCAAAGTTATCAATAATGCTCACCCCTCTCTGCAAGTCATGATTTGCAGTCTCGTGTGTGTGCGCATGCACATGTGTGTCTGTTCATCAAAACCTGCTAACCCTTTTGTTATTCATGCAATCACCAAAGAAAGCTCTGAGACCTGGAGATGAATTTCCTGTGGTGAGACAGTGTGGCCTTATAGACAAGAAGGCCCTGAAGCCCCATGGCAATGTCACTGGCCTCAGGAAAGGTTTCCTGCAGGCACTGCTGAGTGGAGGCACCAGACAAGACTTGTGGAGTGCTGAAAAGAGGATCAAAGTGGACTAGAGACAGATGTGGCCTACTGGAAAATTTTGATGAGGCAACCACTCAATATCTGCCTGAAATTAATATGCTCTGGAATAAACTCCTTGAAAATCAAACAGTAACAAGAGTAACTAGGCAATGAAGTGCCGCATAGATTGCTTGCTATGGTAGTTTCCATTGTGCAAACCAGGTTGTTTTTAAAGCTCCACTTCTTATCTGGGCCATGAGATTGTCATTTTTAACTCTGGTAACTGTATGTCTCTAGTGACACATTGCGAGGCAACTACCAATGCCCTGCTGCTCTGGAGGCCCTGCTGAGGGTCCTCCACTGTGGGGTGGGCACCTCCACCAATCACTGAGGGCATTGTCTCACTGGTCTCATGTCCTCTACAAAGGAATATGCACGATGGATGGAGACAGAGATAGAGAATTTCTCCATAAGCTAAATTACAAGTGAAACTTTGACTTGAAGAAGCATTTCACTCCAATATACCTGGTAATTTTCATTCTGTGCAATTCCTTTCAAAATGGTTTTCTTAGAATCTGGCATTTCAATGAATCCACTGAAAAATTTTACCAGTTACAAAATGTTTTCTGCTAAGGGACTCTTAAGTCTTAATTCACATGACATGCCAAGAGGTGGCTAGCATTTTTATTATGTCCACTTTTCTGATGGAGAGAACTGGGGCCCAGAAGATCAATTTCACCTTCTAAATTTTCTTTCCCATTACCATGTCCTAAACTATCATCTTCTTTAGCAAAATTGCTCCCCAAAGTGAAATTCAGCCACCAGTTGCAAATTAGAACTACAAAAGATTTCTCCTTCATCTATACCTGCACAACCAAACGTAGCTGCAATGTCATAGGCCAAAGTGATATGTTTATCCTTCCATGTTAATACAATAGGACAGGTGTTGTACCACTCCAGGTACAATTACTAGTAAATGAATTGACTGTGTATTGAAATGGAGGTGTTGTAAATTAACGTATGTTTTAGCATGTGACCTTCTTACATCTTTTTTTTTTAACTTAACATTTCTAATGGCAGCCAGGCATGGTAGCTCATGCCTGTAATCCCAGCACTTTGAGAGGCAAGGCGGAAGAATCACTGGAGTCCAGGAGTTTGAGACCAGCCTGTGCAAAACAGCAAGGCCTCGTCTCTACAAAAAAAAATATAAATAAATAAAAAAAAATACAAAAATTAGCCAGGTGAGGAAATGCATGTCTATAGTCCCAGTTATTTGAGAAGCTGAGGCAGAAGGATTGCCTGAGCCTAGCAGGTCGAGGCTGTGGTAAGCTGTGATGGTACCACTGAGCTCCAACCTGGGTGGCAGAGTGAGACCTCTAACAAAATAAAAAAAAAAAAGATTTATAATGGTGTTATAACCACTTTGGAAAATAGTTGGACATTTTCCCATAAAAGCAAACATGGACTTACCAATCCACCCAGAAATGTTGCTCTTAATTGTATATCCTAGTGACATGAAACATGTTTCTATACATGGACCTGCACATGAATGTTCACAGGAAATTTATCAACATATTCCTCAAATTGGAAATATCCCACTATACATTAATGTTAATAAATACACAAATTAAAGTATATCCACAATCTAATATTATTCAATAAGAAAAACAAACAAACTAGTGAGTCATGTCACAACTTGGAATTAATAAACCAAAATCACACTGAGTTAAAGAAGTACCCAGAAGCGTACATGAGCACAATGGTTGAATTTTACAAAAGAAAAACTATGAGTCTAGAGAGCAGAGCAGTGGTTGCTGGGCCTGAGGACTGGAGGTCCAGGAGGAACTGAGTGGGGAGAGGTGTAAGGAAGCTTTAGAGACAGTAGAAATGTCCCACGATCTCCTGGGGTGTACCCAGGTATAAACGTTTGCCAAAACACTTCAAACTCAACACAGAAATGTGCTCATTCTAATGTAGTTAGATTATACTGCCATAAATTTCAACTAAATTTTTTTTGTTTTTGCTTTTTTGAGTTGGAGTTTCATTCTGCTGCTCAGGCTGGAATGCAGTGGCATGCTCATGGCTACCCCAGTGTCTACCTACTGAGCTCTGATGATCCTTCTGCCTCAGCCTTCCAAGCAGCTGGAACTACAGACACACACCACCAAGCGCAGATAATTTTTTGATTTTTTTATTGTAGAGATGAGGTCTCGCCAAGTTGCCCAGGCTGTTCTCTAACCCATGGGCTCAGGTAGTCCCCTCACCTCTGCGTC